TGACGGCGTTGTAAAAGCCGCTCCCTTTCTCTGCCAAACGCTCTCTCTTCCTTCGATTTGGCTTTGTCTATCAACCAAGACTGTTTGTTAAAGAGTGCCTTCTCACCGGCATTTCTTGCAAGTAGATATTTCGCACAGTTCTTAGACAAAACTAATTCGGGTGAAGAATTGAAAGCGGACATCTCCACAGAAAAAGTTTCAAAAACTCCACAAACAGATGCCGGGAGAAACTGCTTTGTACACAGACTAAGAATAATTCGAAATGACAGTGTTTATATGGAGAGGCGGACGTGCCCGGCCTAATCTATGACGTCACGTATTCCCACGCATTATAATACTCTATTCTGGGAAACAACAACAGATTATATATTAACCTGTCTGTTTGCCAAGGAGGAATGATTAGCACATTGAATTCCTTCGTGTATTAATATTGACCTAACAATGATGGCAAGAAGTTTCAAACAATCCTGAAGTCTGCTGTTATATTTCTTTTTATTCCAAAGATCCTTGGAGTATTGCAAAAACGTTATTAATCACAACATAGTTAGTGGAGGGGAATACTACCACTAACTATGATCACAAGCTACGCTGTTTCACGCGGAACTTTGGCCATTGCTTATGTCGCCTTTAGTAGAAAGTACGGGAAAAAACAATTATTATTATTATTTGTTCTGTAGCAGCCTTTCTTGCTATCATTGCTATTGGTTCAGCTTGTGGCATCTGTTGATTTCATTATCTCTCATAAAACTAAAAAAAACAATTATTAGTATTATTTGTTCTGCAGAAGAGGCACGTACAGAATGACAACAAAAAGCTACAAAAGTAGGTCATTGAATGTGTCTAAGGCCGTCCGCGGCCAAGTGCCAATAGCATAAGATATAGCTGTTTTCTTTAAGAAGCGAATGTAGTGTGTTGGATCTTTCTATTTATCTCGCGATCGGCTAAAGCAGTTTATCCATAACCGATGGCAGGGTCTTCGTGATGTTCCATTGCTATTATTCACGGTGTCTTTGTAAAATGTCGGCAGTGTTAGTTCTTTCCTCCCATTCTTGGAAACGGGAAACGGAAAACGGTCGTCGAAACTGCTTATTTAGTTTTTTTTAAGGAAAGCTAAACAGTCAGCGAAAAGTAAACGTTTGGAGTTGTCCTTCAGTAGCATGTTGATTAAATAGACGATTGGATTGAGGCCTTGAGTAGCTGTTACTCTTTTAATTCCAAGCTTTCGTCGATCTTCGGCATCGTCAGGTATTGTAAAGAAAATATTCCACTGTGCGTGGTATAAAAAGCGGTGTAGGTGACACNCTCGGGCAATAATTCTATAGCTTTAATTTACGTAGTTGTTCAGTCGATGAGCTACACTATTTTCTATCCACCCGATATACAAGCTAAAAATGCCTTTAGATACTGTAAGCTGAACCGTAACTACGTAAAGTGAGCTATTGACTGCATATCGTTATAGACACCCTGTTTTGTCTTCGCTTACGCAAAAGCTGGACCCTCTATCATGAGAGGAGTAAGTACAATTCTTATAGGGGGAGGAGGAGGGGAGCTCCCAATTCTTATAGGGGGAGCTCCCAGTAGTGATAAGTAACTAGCTTGTTTTTGTGAGATAGGTAAAAGAGTTTTGTTGTTTTATTATTTTTATTATTTAAAGGGTAATGATAAGCTCACCTGGATGAATCTCAGCCACAACAAGTTCTCGGAGGAGTCTGGAGAAAATCTAGGACTTGGAATAAGTGAGATACAGATTACGCTGTTATGTTTATGACTGGATTACGGTGCTAATGAAAAGGGCGTTACGGCACCAAGTCGTCGTCGTATCGTTTACGTTTGAAAACGTTTTCGCCTTTTGCATAATCCAGGCATATATCATGATTTGTTAAATATAAGTTGCAATACCATTTTCCCCTTTGAGGAAGCATTAAAAGAAAAAAAAAAATGGGTTGAGGCACACGCAGCAAGCGGAATTTGAGATGGCTTAGGTCTTCTTTTTTTCTTTCTTTCTTTTCCTTTGGTTTTTCTTATTTTTGATGACGTCGCTTAAGCTTTTTTGTTTCGTTGACGTTAATTTTAATGGTCTTTGTGTCCGCTGAATATACTTTCGCTTGAACATCGAGGATTTTTGAAAACATCGAAAAACACGTGTCAATTCTGAGGAGGGTATTCTTCGATTTTTAGAGTGAGAAATCCGTGCACTTAAATCATGTATACCTGATCCAATTCATCCTCCCGTGCTCATTGGACATCTTTTAAAGACTTGTGAATAACATGTTGTCTTGTGAAAAGTGATGCCTTTTCACAAGCAGTGCAGGATCCATGGTTCCTCGGTCCCGGATTTTTCTGCCTAAGTTCGAACAGGAAGCCTTTCATGTTCCCCTTAGAATGCAACTTCTACTCAGCTCTCTGATGGAGGCGCGGTGGCCTCATGGTTAGTGCGCTCGCCTCCTGATCGAACGGTCCGGGTTTGAGTCCTTGCCGGGGACATTGTGATGTGTTCTTGGGCAAGACGCTTTACTCTTACAGTGCCTCCCTCCATACAGCGAATTTAATGCTGGGTGTAACGCTGCGATAGACTAGCATGCCAACTAAGGGGAATATAAATACTCCTAGTCGTTCCATGCTACAGGAACCGGAGATACGCGCCGACCTGATGGGCCACTTGGCTCGTATGTAGACTTAGACTTACTTGTAACTGTACCTTTTTACCTTTCACAGCTTTCTGATAGTGTTTTATGATGCAGGTTTCAACGATGCACTGGAGTACTTGGACCTGAGCTGGAATCACATTCGTCGAAAGGGTGCGATTGAAATTGCCAACGGGCTGAGGGTAAGATTGAGTAAACCACGAAGGCAAGAACGGACACAGATGATGAATGCGGAACTGGGTCCCGTCAGTTATAATTAGCATTAGTAAATGCCCAAAAGGGAGAAGTTTTACTCCAAGTGTTTGACTGAGAAAATTCCAATTTGCCACTTTTTTTACTACAAGTACAAGTCATGGGTTGGAATCTCGGTCGAGCCTAATAATTTTTCCTTAGGTTATATTTACTCAACTGCTTAAATTGCGTACATAACAGCAATGATCTCCATGTCCTTAAGTTGTCTTACTTTAAATATAAAAGAAAAATGTGAAAATGAGAACATTAATGGGGTGAGGTATGCTTCAGTTTTGGTGCGCCATAATTATTACGTGTATCTTTTTTCATCAACCAGGTCTCTTCGTATATTATGTATACGAGATTGTATTAAAAACTGGATCATTTGATAATGCAGTTCAGGTATTTTCATTGGCTTAGCCATCATGGTATATGAGCCATTATCCCATGCATGCTCGGCAAATATGATAAGCGTAAGCGCGATTTTTGGGGGGCGTTTGTATTTTTATTTTATTTTAGTTTTCTATATTTTGGGTGCGTTTGTAATCAAATAATTATTCAACTCTAGCTAGCTGAATATGAGATGGTTATAGCCAACTCGGCGCTACACGCCTCGTTGGCTATCTATCACCTCGTATCCATCGCGCGCTCGTGGAATAATTGCTAAATAATGTAATTCATATATAGCTGCAGAACGGAGAGATTCCAGCCTCATGATTGGCATCCATAGTTAGAGGCTAGTGTTACCGATAGTAAAGTGAGCAAAATAATGACAGCGATTTTAAGTCCTTTTACTTAGTTATTCTTCTATTTTAGACGAATTGCACTCTGAAGACGTTAAATTTGTCGTTTAATGGCTTCTCCAACGACGGAGCTGTTGCGTTGGGTGAAGCTATTAGAGCGAATAATACACTGACGGAGCTGGACATAAGGTGAACATGGATAAACAAATGCAACGTATCAAGTGCAGTATAACAGTGGAACATCTGTTTCAAAGTTTGGTTAATAGTGGGGTTATTGGTTAACCCCGCTATTAAGGAAGTTTTTCATAGATTTCTAAAAGTATCTGAAAAAAAGCTGACTCTAGTTTAGGAACGTATGTCTATCGGGTGAGTGCAAGCACATTATTATTGTTATTTTTTGCATCATGACACCAGAAAAAAAGCTTTTTACGCTCTGCTAGGATATTCTTTGCAGCTGGATATTGAAGTGAGCAGAATCTCGACAGAGAGAAGGGACAGGGAGGGACGATTTGGTATCCACCTTGTAGTCCTCTCCCCTCTCCCTGAAAGATAGCTATCAGACATTTACTTTGATATCAAAACCTTACTTACCAAATTTCTGTGAAACTTACTTCTCGTCTAGCAACAACAGAATAACAGCACAAGGTGCTCTGTGTATCGCTAAAGGACTGGAGGGAAATAACACACTGGAAGTTCTCAAGGTGATTTTTTTTCTTTTGTAATAATATCCTGCAGTAGCGTTCGCTACTAATATCGCCGCACAAATCGGCTGCTTAAGGAGTTTAGCTGCACTAAGAACGTTCAAATTCAGATTCACCGGGCTCAAATGTTCTTCTTTTTTTTTTTGCTATTAGGTAAATACACTTGATCATATAGTTCAGTTTGATTTTCCCCGGCGGACGTATTACCAAGTTGTTCATTAAAAAGTGTTCCTTCAGTGTTAAAAGTAGGCGCACGTTTTCCCGCGCTTCTCACCGGCTGCGCATATCTGCTTCGAGTTTTGATTGGTCAATTGGATTGTCTGTGTTGTTTGTGATTGGCCAGAGATATGACTTAGGACACTCAATTGAAAACCGCTATAACAGCGTAATTAGTTCCATACCCAGTGCTAACGATTACATTCCTAGCAATAAATAAAAATAATCAAAATAATGAATCAGAATAGATGATTTAGTATACCTTGTGTTCTTCGCAGATTGGAAGCAATCCGATCGACACTGTGGGAGCTTGTGCTATTTTGGCAGCAGCGAAAAACTACTCTGATAGCGCTTTAACAGAACTTCATTTTAAGGTAACGTGCTACACCTATAAGAACCCTTCTCTATTAATCTACCTGTCTCAGAGCCAAAGAGGTCACGTGGTCTAACACTACGTTACAAACCAATCAAAAGTAAAAATAAGAGTGTAACAGGGAGCTCGAGAAAGCATGGGAAAGGTCGCCTCAATGACATATGAGATTCTCACCAGCTCTCTCGCAATCGTAGGTTGTCCGGCACGAAGGACTTTTATCTCCTTCAACCCGCCAAATCTACAGGCGGAAATTTCTTTCTGTGCCGTTTATCCAATGAAAAGCATGAATTTTGAATGATTTGTCACTCAAACGATACACGCAAACGTGTGATCCCAAATAAATTACCGGGAAAATCGGCTACCCCATCGTAACTTTAAGAATATTTGAACACTGATAGCGACTTATATAATAAGACCAAAATGTTCGTTTGAGATAAGTAGCATGGGATAATGACGTATTTGTAACACATCACATATTGACGCGATGAAATTCAAACAGTCGCTATCTTGGATCCACCGTTTATTGATTTTTCAAAAACGTCAGAACACCATCAAAACTGTCTCCTTATTTCCTTAAATACTGACCAAGTTATAAATTATTTAAGTCAGCGCGGGTATTTTCCGTCCCTTCTACTGGCCTTATGGTTTTAAAATGATAATTATGCCACATCCTTTCAATATTGCTAAAATTCGCGTTGCAAATTCGAGGAAGACGCAAATGCTTTTGTAAGAACATTGGGAGAAAGGATGAGAAATGTTCAGAGAGCCCTGTGTGGAGATAGAACTGCATTTTAAATCGAAACTAGAGAAACGCTGTAATGCTCTTATGCAGGATGTATATCTAGACGAGGAGTTTGAGAAACTTCTGGAGGAAGTTCGTGAAGTCAAGCCGGACATTCAAATCATAGCAAATCTAAAGCCGGGTGTCAAAGATCCACTCAGTGTCGTCAAAACCTTCATCTCAAGTAATCAAGATCAGTGGCTGGAACTCTGTCAGCAGTTTGACTCTCAAGGCGTGGTTAAGATTACAAGGACTGACTTTGTTAAATGCCTGAAGGTAGGCTGGACTTAACTTAATATTTTCTAACGCAAATTTTCAAGTAATTTGTACGTCAAAGTTAGCAGCAGTTCTCGGTAGCTCGTGTAACATATCCAGTAAGCACACAAACAGCATAATCAAAGCACTTTATGCGCAAACCTGTGATTTTCCGACTTGAGGTTTAATGTGATCCACAATATAATACTTACATGTACTTCGATTGTTCTCTTTTGTTGTATTGGGCTAGAAAAATTGTACTTCATAGATATGTAATTTCCTTTTTATTCAATTTTTAAACTCCTTGTACATAACTTTGCGATAATTTTTAAATTCTGAATTTTTTATCATGTAGTCTTAATTTTACGCAAGGCCCCTTTTGATACCAGCCTATGGCTGATAGGGCTACCATGCCTAAATAAAGATGACTTGACTTGACTTGACTTGACTTGACTACAACCCGTAACTTCACCACAACCCGTAACTTGCTTAGGCAGTCACGGGTTAAAAAGGACACCGTTTCATGGCATTTCTCTACAGCTGATCCCCCTACAAAGGACAGTGACGAGGCAAAAAGATCATTTCTGCATTTGTTTTCTTTTCGATCCAGTTGAGTACAGTCCCAAAAATAAAGATAATTATTGTAATATACGGTGTTTATTCTTCACAGAAAGCAGGCATTGAGTTCGGAATTGAACAAACTGCACGTCTACTGACGCGGCTTGACCCCAGGAAAGAAGGTCTTATAAATTATACGTGAGTATCTTTTTTCATAATGTGAATATGCTCTAAAACAATATAATTTCTTCCTCGAAAATCTGTCGCATTCATTGTAGATACGAAGCCAGGGATCGAGTCGCGAGTTGTCCCCTCCGTCCGATCTACTTCTCTCCTTCTCTTTCTTTGGGGAACAGGGATGGCGCAGTGGTGAGAGCGTTCGCCTCCCACCAATGTGGCCCGGGTTCGATTCCGGCCGGGTGCCATATGTAGGTTGAGTTTGTTGCTGGTTCTTGCCTTCCTCCGAGGGTTTTTCTCCGGATCCTCCGGTTTTCCTTCTTCCACAAAAAGCAATATCTCCAAATTCCAATTGGACCAGGATAGAGGACCCGTATGAAAACCAACTAAGGCTAATGTGGCTTCCTCTCTCAATATTGTAATTTGTTTATTTAGCTTATTTAAGGTCATTCCCCGGTATTGCATTGCGCATCCCTACTGCGCATAATTTCACGCGTGATTAGCGCGCGCGCATTAAAAAATGGCGGCCTTTTCTTTGCGGCTGGACCTCGCCATAGAGGTAAATCGTCATTTTCTCGAAAACGAGTACGGTCACCTATCATTTTTTTCTGTTGTGTTGAATTGAGTAATAAATTTCTCTATGTAAAATAAATATGGGCCAATTCTCAGTGTTGAGCAAGAAACAATCTTCNTATCATTTTTTTCTGTTGTGTTGAATTGAGTAATAAATTTCTCTATGTAAAATAAATATGGGCCAATTCTCAGTGTTGAGCAAGAAACAATCTTCGTAAAAGTGATTTTAGCAAGCAATCGTGACTATAATCATGGTGCTATTGTAAGGATTTACATGGTATAAACAAGGTCTGGTGCTCCTAAACGAACATGGGGACCCCTCATTTTTATTTCCAAATTTAACAATATAAACAGTCAATAGGCAAAGTTTGACAAAAGTCTCACTGCCGGTTCTATTTCAGTGGAATGACCTTAACTGCTCTCCTCTTCCACCTCTGCTTCTCAACCTCTCCACAACTAGTTTTCGTTTTAACCAAGGGGTAGTTAGCTGAGTGCGGTGTAAGTTGAGACCAATGCTGCCCTGCTATTATTTGCAGAAATAAGATGCTAGGATATAAAGACTTACCACCAGAAGAGCTAGAGAGCTAGGAATACAAGTTAGTTAGAATAGCAAAGAAGTTCTGTTTTGCGATCGTTAGTCAAAACAAGAAAATAATATGAATAGCCAGTTTAGTTATTAAAGGCATTTTAAAAGTTGATAGCGACTAAGTTGACTCGATATTCAGTTGTTGATAAAATTAAAACAATGATATGCGCAGTACACAACTAGAGGCTGCCATTACCAAATCGAAACAAAAATATTGATTAATTCGACACAATAAATTATGAATTAGCCCATAGCAAGTTTAATTTTACGTTTGACATCATTTGTTCTCAGTAAAGCAAATCAAACGAATTTCTTTTCAAAGCGTGGAATATGATCAATAGGGTTGTAGGGAAAACTAATTTTCAATATCTCCTGCTCAATCGGGAGGAAAAAAGGGGTAAAAATCAGACTAGGGGAACTTCCAAATAACATAACCTTTTGCACAACATCTATCTTCATTGTTCTAGATCGCGATAGAATCGCTATTGCAAAAAGCAATAGCAAGTCTTTACAGAAAACTGCAAATGACAATCGAGGTAGATATATTTCTTTTCAAGGCCTTCAAATTCCCACTCTACGTAACTTCTGCTTATTTCTATTTTTTGCAAATTTTTGTTTTGCCATAGACTTAAGACGCTACTACCTTCTTGCACTCTTTACACACGTTGCTGTGACACCTAGGATAGCTCATTATGTGTATTCCTTCTTTTACCTCTTCTGAACTCGGTTTCTCGCTTTCAATTGACCATTGAATATGTTCTATCTAATGTTTCTCTCAAAGTCTTAGGTCTCCAAGCGGATATCGCGACCCTCATGTGTTGAGCTATGTTTTTCCTGTTGTGGACAGCCCATGAAGCTTTGCCAGTCGGTATATCTAGAAGAATGCCTTTGCTCAAGTCGTTTTTAGGAGTGAAGAGATGAGGACAATTTTTTGGGACTTGGCTATAGAATGGAGGAGCGAATCCAAGGGGCCCAGCAAGCAGCCCAGCACTTTCCTCCTGACTCACTGCTGTGTGACGCGTTCAAAAGCGCAAAGAATGACGGTCTTGATGAGATAATTATAATAGCCAGTCTCAATTCCCAACTGAACTTAAGGTCGAAGGACGCATGTCCCGCTATGGCTTTTTGGAGAAGAATTCTCCAAGAATTCTCCATTTTGCATTGGAGCTCGATTTCAGGTCCAATCAGTTGACGTTCCAACACTCAATGACGCGAACTACCATTTTCTGCATTCAGTGATATGTTAATATTCCCGCGCAAAAATTACGCGAGCAACTGTTAGATAGAGGAAGCAGAAACAACATTCAGTGGTTAAATCTCGTCAAACTGACATGGAATACCGGTGATAACTTCAAAATGCTTTGGGACACGCTAAAACCAACACAGAAACTAACTATGAAGACGAAGGTGAATGCACATAAAAAGAAAAAAAAAATGGGCTCAAGAGCCAAAACATACGTCACTCGAACGCGCGCTAAATAAAAGGCATGGTATTTTGATTCTCTTCAAAAGCTCTTGAAATCTGTCTGTGATCCAAAATGTGCCAAGAACATATCGCATAACCCACGGGGAAACTTTCGAGATTTGTTTATGCAGCTGAATATATGAATAAAATATGTCAAACGGATTTTCAGCTACTTTATGAGTATAAATACATGAAGGAGTGGTCTTATCTTTTTCCCTGCATTTTGCAAACTGTGTGTTCTTACGTCATCTGTAACTTCCTCTAGCAGGTTTAACCGAAAACGGACAGCCAATCTCTGTGGATTTTCATTTTAGTCACTCTAAGCCTTAATACTACTCATCATATTCTTTCATACAAAATTACATGCTGAAAATCAAATTTTACATTTGTACGTTGTCTGAATAACTTGGGTATAAGATGGCGAGCATCCTTTTTTTTTTCTAAGCAGTGTCGCTCATATCGAACCACGTTTTCCGGGACTAAAACTCGCTACAGAAATTGAAGAGGACACTTGTAATTCCACATAAAATCAATAATTTCAAGCAGGCGCCAACATCCTTTAGAACGAGTTGTTCATGTGCAGATCGTTTTAGTCCACGGCTGTTACGATCTTTTTCCATAATGACCACGGGAAAGGACTACTATCTTGAACATAAACATGAACTTGTGCCGAACCATATGTTTCCAGACAACGATTATTAGTGGTTAATGGAGTGTCTGATATTAATGAAATGCCGTCTTTTAAAACACCCCGCGGGCAACGTTTTGCTTTTACAGGTATGTAAAAACAGATTATTCGCATGGACAGGTTTTGGATTTTTTTTTTCCATACTTCACTCCATCAAATCTATCTGTCCTCTTTCATACTGTGCCAAGTGCCGTTCAGTGAACTTAAACAGGCTGTTTTCTTAGCATATGGCATCGGCAACTTCGACGAAAGGCAGCTCTACTGCTTGTAGCAACGTGCAAGCTGAAAAGAGAACCATTCGCGAAAGAACAGCGTTAATGATAAACAATCCTCTTATGAGCGATGTCAAGTTTGCAATCTCACATGATACAAACTCCACGAGCAAGGATCATGGAAGTGAATTAATATACGCTCACAAATTCCTGCTGTCCCTTGGCAGCCCTGTGTTTCAAGCCATGTTTTACGGTAATATGGCTGATCCTAGGCAAGAGATTCCTCTCTCCGACTGCCATCCTCGGAGTTTTGTTGAGTTCATTCGGTATTTATATTCGGATGAAGTGCACTTGACCTCTGGGAACGTGTTTGAACTTTTGTATTTGGCGAAGAAATACATCGTCCCTTTCCTGGCGGAGAGTTGCTGCCGTTTCTTGACAGCGGAGTTAAGAGAAAGCAATGTGTTTAGGATCTTGGAGCACGCTAGGCTGTTCTCCGAGTCTGACCTTGAGCAGCGCTGCTGGCGGCTATTAGAGATCAAAACAAGCGCTTGCCTTCAGAGCGAAGGACTCCTCTGGATTAGTCGCGACACTCTTTCATCACTTCTCAAGAGAGATGTCCTTACTCTAGTTGACGGAGAGTGCGCTGTCTTCAAAGCTGCAAAGAGATGGGCGATTGCCAAATGCAAAGTGATAGGTTCGGAAACTACAGGGAAAGCGCTGAGGAAAGTTCTAAAAGAAGCGATTTACCTGATTCGTTTTCCTTTGATGCCTCCCAGATTGTTTGAAGACATTGTAATACCAACGGGAATTCTTACGGCGGAAGAGGTGTCACAAGTGTACCTGTTCCACAAACAGGGCTTAGTCACTGCCGGTTACACGAAATTTTCCTGTATACCTCGTGGCCCTCGGCTTCAATCAAGAAGTACAGAAGTGCAGTTGTGTCGCTGTTACAGGTACAGAGAAAATCAAACGTTTCCCAGTTCTGAAAGTTTCAGCACTGTTTCGGAAAGCTTGAAGTTCTCGACCAATAAAGAAGTCTACTTTGCAGGGGTTCGCCTTTACGCCCACAAAGACGAGGGTAGACAGTTTTCAGTACAACTGAAAATATCTAGATGCCACGGATTAAAAGAAGAGGTGTCTGCAGTGAGCGGAACATTTACTGTGAAAGGAGAGCCATGGGATGGAGGCAGTAGGTTGGGATTCGACGTGATAGTTTCAAAACCCTTCCTCGTGTCGAGGGAAGCTCAATTCATTATCAAGATTACAATTACGGGAAACGATGAGACAAGAGCATCTTCAAATAAATGCATTTCGATGAAGTTTGTGAAGTGTGAAGGTGTTGAGTTTAAATTCGAGGGACAGTCCAGACAGATATTGGAGCTATTATTCTACAAAGTGGATGAACAATTTTCGTATGACGTTATAGGTCTCAGCAAAATGCATGCACACATTGGTGAAAAGTGATAATGAAGAACAGTACAATGAGCAATGCTTACAAAATTTCATCAGTTGTGCGAGATGAGACAAAACGAAACCGAAAAAGACAAAAGAAAATTGATAAAAGTTAAATTATATATGGAAATGTTTAATTTGAATGGCAAATCTTTCAACAGCTTGTTATATTTCATCAATATAACAACACCAACCGATTCTTTTAAGAGAAAAGTGCAGGTTTGACCGGGGGTAAAGGGTAGCTCTCAGGATTGTAATTTTCTTTCACGAACGTTTTCGGAACCTCCGAATCTGAAGCTCTTGCAGATAACAGCAATAGAACAAGCTAAAATCTCGTTTAGACCTTGTGATCTCTTGCATTCCCTTCCGTCCCCTTTACTTTTAGGGGCTAGCTCCAAAACTTTTCTGTTCCTTTTAGGCTCTAGGCTCCAGCTAACCATTACTTTCCTTATTATTTTGTTTAATCAACTTGTAAAGTGTATAATACTTAATTCTTATCTAATTCATGTTAGCGTGAGGATCTTTGTGACCTCAGGCTTGCGTTATTCTCTGGAAGTGGCACTTGGTCACTTCAATGAAAACAGAAGGAGTATGGGATAACAGAATCAGGGATTTATATTTTGTAACACTAAGTCGGTGTATAATTATAAGGGAGGGGATCCTGAGCCGTAAGGCGATGATACATTTAGAACAACATAAAAAAGATCAAAAGAATCTGTACAAGTTTTTATTACTATGTCTGTTACTTCCTTTTGCTCTTTATCGCAACGAAATTATACAATTAAAGCTTTGAAACCATAACAGTTATAGTGAAACGCTTGACGTTGTCCTTCAGTACTATTTTGGGTGGTTAAATATTCCATTCTGCTGAGGCCTTGAGATACTGTTATTCTTTTAATTCCAAGCTTTTGTTCTCGCTACCACTCATTAGCGAGTTTCCATGTTATTGTGTGTTGCCCTCGCCACATTTGCATAATTTATTGTCCTTAATTTATATTCTAATCCGATTCGTGTCAACTACACCGCTTTTTATATCACGAACCGTGGAATCTTTACATTCCCAGACGATGCCGCAGATTGGCGAAAGCTTGAAATTAAAAGAATAACAGTAACTCGAATCGCCTAAAATGATAATAACGTTGCACGAGGCTAGTCAAATATGGTGAAGCTGCAACAAGCTGCTGTCTATTTTGCGTCTACTAATTTCCCTGGAAGGTACTATAATATGCAGGAACTGATATTTCGGAAATAGAAACGCTTTTCGCACTAGCAAAACTCGCTTTTCAGCCGTTACACAAAGGCACAATAAACTGTAGTAACATTAAGAGAATTGACAACCACTAAATTTAGTAGATGAGTTTGGCGAGAGGGGACAAAATCTGGTCTGCCCACGTTTAGTTCGTCGCGCGCTGTTCCCCAACAGAGTGAATGCCTGGACAAGGTAATTATATTGAGGCTGTCACTCAGTTGTTCTAGTTCAAGTTGCGGCGATTTATGATTCTGTACGTTCTTTTACTGACAGCAATTTTTTGTCGCCTTCTTCACATAGTCCATAACTGTAAGCTTGTCCCAAATATTAAACCTTTTCAAGGCTTGTAAAAAATTTTATTACTAATATGTTTGGTATAACAAGTACGTTCAAATTAATTACAAACTACAACATAGTTGTGACACACTGCCTTGCCCAGCACTCCAGAGAACACCTTCCTTTCTCGGCGATGCAGATCTGATGGCACACTTCGACAGACGGGTGACATTTCAAATGGCATCCCAAACCAGTGCACTTTTGCGTGCATGTATTTGCATAACACTCAAGCAAGCCGCAATCTTTTCCACTGCATACCTGCACGCACTCTCTAGAATTACAGGATAACGTGTAGCACTTCTGGCCAGAGCAGACTTGGTTGCAAACATCTGAACCAGTACAATTCATCAAACAGAAGCCGTCGCTGCAGGTCTGATTGGAAATTTGCAATGGATTTGAGGGCCTATTCGTCACTGCACAGCCAATCCTTGATGAACAGCTCTGAACACATGTCTCATCTTTTATTTCGTCGCAAGCTTCTGTAGCTATTAAGCCAGGAGGCTGATAAAGGGAGTGCTTGCAGTTTCCACCAAAGCATCTAGGGCTGCAGTTCTCACCTTCACACGATGTCAAGCAACCTCCACCAATGCAAGTCTGATAACAGACTTTGGAGTTCGAAGACAAACAGGCCATCCGGCAATTTCCCTTTCTGCAAATTTGAGTACAAATTTTTGAATAACATTCCATATGACAACCTCCAGCAATGCATTCCTGAATGCAAATGTCTGACGCACAGGTGACGAGCTGGCATTGTCGTCCAACGCAAACTTGGCTGCATTTTTCTCCTGCATTGCAACTCATGTTGCAGTTTCCTCCGTAGCAGACTTGACTCTGCATGGAATAGCCGTCGACACTCATCATTTTACAGTCCCCCGACAAGCAATGCTGGTAACAAATGTTCTGTCTTCGAGCTATTGCCCTGTTGCAAGTTGATGTGACTACGGGAGCAGTTACTTTTTCGGGCTCAGCGTTGTAAAGGCATTTACTGTAGCGACAAGAACGGGAACATTCTTTCCCATCACAAAGCATAATACATCTTCCTTTGTTGCACGACTGCTTGCAATATTGCACTCCCGATGGACAATGCATTTTGCAGTTACCTCGACTGCATTTCTGGGTGCAACGCTTTGCACCTGCAGGACAGGTCATTTCGCATCCACTGACGGCGCATTCCTGAACACACTCGTCTGAATTGCATTCCATGTTGCAACGTCCACGGATGCAGTATTGATTGCACTTCTTTGAGTTGCACTTGAGAGATTGGCAGTTGCTGGCAAGGCATTTCTGCTTGCATGCATCTGGGGCAACACAGGTAAGATTCAAAGCTCCAGCATTACCAATCTGTTGGCAGTTCCTGAATTTGTCGCCTTTTACTGCACATGTCAAATTTCGTCTTCGTGCGAGTGAATACTGGTAGCACGTTCTGTTCTGTCTCAAAGAGCACTGTCTATAATCACCCGCAGCTGACGTCTTGCGAATAACAGATGCGAAGAGAGATGCGCTGAAGATTACGAGGAAGAGTTGTACTCGCCAAAATCCTAACATTACCCTCATCATCATCCTCCTTAAGAAAATTAACAAGAAAAGACGTCAACGATAAATGTAGTTGGATTTTATGCATGGATGACAAGCTTTTAAAAAGCCGAACTGTACGGGTCCGCAAATGATCCTAGGACCGCAAATGATCCCGGACCGCAAATGATCCCGGACCACCAATGATCCCCAAATTGAACCGGAAATGATCCCCATATTGGACCGCAAATGATCCCGATCAAACAATAAGGAATGGCATGGATTTATATCAGAGGAAGGTGAGAAAAGATACAAAAAATATGAACTAAAAAACATCTTTTATCGTTTTACTAAAAAATATTTCACAGCTGTTGTTTTGTTCTTCGAACGGTTCAGATCGTTTTCACTGTCACGCAATAAAAAAAAATAGTAAATCGAAAATCAACCAATGGAAAAAGCTAAGAAATTGTGATGTACGCTATAGAAGATAACTAAATAAGACACTTCTCCAAGTTTAAGGCCTGTGCGTTTCCCCAAACTTCAGAAATTCGTCGTAAATGTTTCCCAGAAATTTACAGAGCCCAGTAAGAAAACGCCATGTTGGTATACATCCGTGGTACACCAATATGGCGGCCGGAATATAGTGTAAACATCTGGAACTACTTTGGCTTTCCAGACGACTGATAATGAGTACTATGAAACAAGCATTTACATAAGCACTTTTCCTAATGCTCTAACTTCTAAAAAGGCTCAAAATCATGAGATAAGTATATATTTTTCAACAAACTCGATCGTA